CCCCAGTCTTGCCTTTCCTTGGATGGTTAAACGTTAATGACCCCTGACGCAAAGGTTAGGACAAATGGTTTCGTAACTTGATTATCATGCTTACAAACTCATATTTCATCATCTCAACCATACTTATCTACGGACCTAGACAGTCTCAGTCAAGGATTTTCTCTTGGGTTATTAGGTCTTAAGGATCAGAACAGGAGGTTTAACCTTTTGACAAGTCTGATTTACGAACCGTATTGCATATAGACGCTAAAACACACAAATATACATACTCATACAATCGAGAAAAAAATAATAGAACCAGTATGAAATCTTTTGATTAGATTAAGTCTATATAAGATCGGCCAACAAATCTCTTCTGCATGCACTTTCATTCGAAATAAAAGTCCCCCTAACAGGAAATGTTAGTTAATACCACTATTATAAATGAAAATATTTGGGTTTCGAAGACTCCCTTCATAACTTCATGTCACTGGTCTGTATACTTTTAGGAAAAAAATAGTTGAAAAAGATTTGTAAATTGGCCTTGTCAGAAGCCGAATGTCTGAGAATTGTGACCGCTGGAATTTGAGAAGTCCTCAGCTCATCACCCCGCGACCCTAACAAATATGTACTGAGTCTAATGCCTGATGCAATGTTCCTAAAGAAATATGCCTGTCAAGGCGGAGCTGACAAAACCTTAGCCTGAATGCACTGGTAATGAAAAATAGTGCACTGTGGACTCAACAGTCAGAACTATAATGTAGTCCGCCTTCGGTTTCCCGAGAGACAAATTTACGAATTCCTTGCAGCCAACTTTACCCCCAAAGTAAAAAGTGTAGAGAAATATGTATCCTTCGCATAAAGTGGCATATATCACACTTTCGTGTTTCAGAACTTGATAGATGAGCTAAACACGAAAAAGCAAAGAAAAGGCTTTTATTCATATTGGATTTAAATTGGCCTTCTATCACAAATAGTCTTTTCCTCTGAGTCCGATTATATATTCGATCTTGCACACGTTTTATCAGCATGATCAGGCTGATTCGAAATTTATAAGTAAGCCTTAAGATGCTAATTTCCACCAACTCGCTATACATCCCAAGTCACATCAGATTTCCTTTCGTAACGATAATGAGGCAAATTTGCACTAGCGATGTAAGTTGACTTGTGATTACAAGCTATATTGGTGTGTGCATGAAAATAACTTGTTTTTATCATGATAGCACTATGATGGTGTGAATAAATCCGAAATGAATAAAGCGAATGCTATTCGATTAGTAATAAAGTAAATGTAGGGATATAGGAAAAATTTAGAAAATGGAAATTCAAATCCCATAAGATTATGTTGTCGCAGTAGCATTTATCAAAACCTAATCTGAGGAGCAACGTCTTATAAATATGACGCTTTCAATTTAACTACAATATTCTTTGAGGAGAAACAGTGTGGTGCCTTAGTTAAATGCGAATTTCCCAATAAAAATCTGCGGAGAACATCCTAGATAAAAAGAAAACTACTTAAACGTCATTTGATCTATTGTACGAACACATGAATAGGATAGACGTAAGCATACATGAAAAGATTGTCAGGACTAAGCAGAAAATGCCCGCTAGTCCGTACGAGATATTCTTTGATTTTATGTGACTCCACTACCACAAATAAGTTATTATAGGCTTTAAATCCTTTCCACTTTGATTTACAGTCATAATGTTGAGCATAAAGACAAACTATCATACAAGGAGGACCTAATAAACATAATCAGAATTTCCAGGTAAAATAGTCCTCATGGAATAAGTAATTGCTGCAAGCAATAGTGCTCCCAGGATACCTGGACGACGGTTGTGTTATCACTTCTCCCTCTTTCGTGTTACATATACCTGCCCCTATCATCATTGCCCTTAACCTGACACTTAAGAGGAGACTATTCGAAAAGAAATCACATACTGGAATAATCTTCAATTGCAATCTTATCACATCTATAAAGTAAAGATAAGAATAATGAAAAAATTCGATCATCAGAAGCCCAAGATTAACGGACATAGAGTTACGGGGATAAAAACTAAACAAACTGATCAGAATTTTTCTTAAGGCGGGTGTCACAAAGTAGTCATCAAGATCAGATGGCAACACAGATAATATATAAATAAAATAAGGAACGAGGAAGAACAAAAGCGGATATGCCTGCTCTCCTGAGAGCTCAGTAAAAAAACGTAACTACTACAAATAAAATTAAATATTTAGGTGATAACGAAGGAGAAAATACTCCCTTCTAGCTTGTATAGACAGGATGCGGTGAACAAACTAGAATGCTCTGGAGTTTATCACAAGATGCAGCAATTGTAAGCTGCAGTATATTAGAGAAGCAAGAATAAAAATCTGCCAATGGATTAAGGAACATCAAAAAATCTGTAGAAACATGGATATTGAAAAATCAAAAATGGCAAAAAACGGGAAACTAATTTGAAGAAAGGCGACAGTAAGACTGGCCGCATAAAGTGAAGATACACAAGATCGAGACGGCATCAACATCTGACGGGAATAAATCTGATGAACAGGAGACGGAAAGAGGGCATAACTAACAAAAACTTTGCATATTGTTTAAGCAAACTCGGAGAATATCAGGAATCAAGAAAAGAAGACTGGATCAAGAAAATATTTTTAGTATTAAGAAAAGGAATTACAAATAAATGGTGTTCTAGGGACAAAAAAGCAAAATAATTTCAGCAGGCATAATGATTCAGGCCGATAAAATTTTTCAGAAAGCTTCGGGATTAAAAAAATAAGGGCTGTATTCACCCGAGATCGCACATGATAATAAAGGACCAATAATAAAAGTTTCCCACAATAATATGAGCAGGCCCTGCAATGCCATTGTCTCTTATCGAGTCATCTCCTCCACCCCCCAATGACCTAGCGTTAATATGGCTCTCATTCAAGACTTTCTGGTAGTTTCGAAACCCCATCAGTCTGCATTCAATAAATATCATAGGGAAAGTGAAAATAGATTGAAGCAATCGCATGAACACTCAAAATTTGGCAGACAAAGCTGATCGGAATTCGCCAAGAGTTCTAATAAGACATTCGCAAAATTAAACTAATAGACGCCAAGTTGATCTTCTAGATGCTTATTCGGAATATTAAATAAAATATTTTATTCGAAAAATGACATTAAATGAAAGCAAGCAAACAAATAAATATAAGTTATCACTGTGGAGGGCTCATATAACTTGAAAGATTAGAGGATACGGTCGGTATGGATGACATTGAAGTTTTGATCCACTCAGGACAATTGTACCTGGTGGCCAGCTCTAAGGAGGTCACAAATTGCAGTTCAGGCAGGACTTAAAAAAACGGTGGCTTATGGAAGCACGCAATTATTTATAAAGACCTTTTAACCATGTTGTGGAAGACTCGGATGATGTGAAGTCGAGCAACGAAAAAGTGCTAGCAATCTTAGATAAATCATCTACAATGACAACTTCAAAGGAATTCATCGTTAAATTTGAAAGTGATACCAAATAGCTGGTAAGAGTGCCCCAGAGTTGCTTCATGTGTCCTCAAGTAGTATTGTTTGTAGTGCTGAAAAAAAGAATCGCTTTACATCAATAGTATGCCGAGCAACCTTAAGTTAGAGGACAAAAAGCAGAGCCAATCACAATTCGATGGGTCGAAGGTGGCACCATTTGTGGCACTGCAGTCAAGATAAGACGACCTAGATCAGCAAATGTTAACAAATTTCAAGATATGAAAATAAATAAGCTTAAAAAATTAGAAGCGTCCTCAAATTGGTGTGTTAATCAAAGGAAAAACTATCATTTTTATAACCGGAATCGAACTATCAGAATTTACTTTAATAAGACAGCTATAGGTGAGGACGGCTGAATTTGAGGTTAGTTAAAGGAGAAATTTGAACGAAAGATTTAGTCAAATACACCAAATCGGGTTACAAGGAAACGATAAGGGTAAAAGAATGTTTAGAAAGAGTGGATTAAGTTTGAGTTGTTGCATGGGCGGATAGTAAATGAAAATCAATAAAAGTATATGTATCTTTGTGAATATGCAAATGCTAATTCCATACATAGATGCTTACTTTGAAACTCGCTATTTTCAATGCTTAGAATGGAAAATTGTGATAAAAAGGATAATTGTCGGACCTCAGTCGAAAGGATTTAGAAGAGGGGGTGATCGAGACTGCTTTGTGGTCTGTGGTGGGCTATGGCCTAAAGCCTCGTCACCAAAAGGGTTGCCAGGCAATAGAGCCTCATCAGCAGAGTCTACACAGGTTGGAAATAAAGAATCGCCTGTGTCGTCGTCAAACGGATTGGCTGGATGACGGAGCTCTGTTATGGCCAGATCTGTAATTAAGGCCGACGCACTACCACTCGTAGCAGCTATAGCTGTTTTTGTGTCCGCAGATCGCCCAGACACTAATGAGCTGGACGAAGACAAATTGCGTTCAGGGGTGGCGGAAAAATAACCGGTTGACATTCCGCCTAAAACTGGAGGGCCAGTGCCCAAATTTCTATGGGCTCCAGGCGGATGTGTTGTAATGGAGTTGGCAGAAGGACCAGACGAAGTATGAGTAATATAGGATTGCTGCGAGGCAATTGAAGCCTTTGTGCCAGGTTCGACCTCTGAGAGACCGGACAAAGAAATTCCACTGTCTGGGGGACTAAAAAACGCAATTGGTAGGAAGGGTGTAGAAATTTGGGCAAATAAGAATGATAAGCTTATTCAAAATACTTTGATGCACTAAATTTTACTTGTAATAGCACATACATAAATCATGATATAGAAATAATATGGATAGGAATAATAATAGCAATGCTTAAAAAAATTCAGAGTAAGTTAGAATAACTCTTTGACCCTTGAGCTCTATGAAAACATGGTTAACTTGGACCTGTAGTTGATCAAAATGTGCCCTCATTATGTAGGCTTGAGTTGACTTCAGTTTCTAAATTTTTCTAGAGCTCATCTAGTCAAAGTCGTCTGTTCGTTTTCAGTAGATTATTGAAGGGACAATATGTATGAAATAACAATGATGGAAATTACGCTTTGTGCGGTTACATAAACTACATTAATCAGAAGAAATATATTTACAATTTGCATTTAAACATTGAGCAGAATAGCACAGTATTTACCTTTCTAATGTACTAGATCAAGGGACGCGTCTCAATGAGAATTGTTCAAGATCAGTCTAAGCAGAAGGCAATATTGTGATAAATGGGTCTAAAAATTCTGCTCATAAGTGGGCTGACGATAAATGAATACTACATCATCTTTATCAAGAATAAATTAAAAACTCAAAAATGTCATAGAATGCAGAGAAGCAATTAATAATTACACAAATTATTTGGAGATTATAAATTGTGAAAATAAAAATGAATACTTCATTTAACATAGCAAAGGTAAGAGGACTTTATTCGGAGACCGTTAAAAGTATTTGTTTTAATTTTAAGCTAGTAGAGAATAACTCTGTAAATAAAAAAAAGAGCATAAGTATCCTAACAGTAAATATATAATATAGATAGATATTGGGTACCTGAAAATGGAGTCAAAAATAAATTAGTGGCTAAGAGCGATAAGGTGTTTCGTAGTTAAGATAATTACAAGGTTTCGAATCAAATTTACGATAGTGATGAGGCCTAAGGGAGTTCGTCAGGGAATTTACGCTATTGTAGCTCTCATCTTGTTACAAAAGTAATGAATTTAGTCGAGGATAGAGTAGCTACTAGTGCAATAAACACCATCTGTTAGTCAAGAACATAGACATCAGACTTCTGAGAGCTGCAAAATAACTTATTATGTAATTATTGTATGACATCGATAAACAACATGGCAAGGATATGAGTTGAGAAAGTCATGATTTGATCTTAAAACTACACTTGCCCTGATATTTAAAGAGGACTGGGCGATGTGCCTACCTCATAACCCGAACTTTCAAGCTTCAAATCTCGCTGGTGGCGAGAATTAGATCTCACTCTAGCCTCGGTAAGGCCCACAATAACAAAGCCAACCCTTCAAGTAATAGTGAATAAACCAGATCAAATCATAATTGAGCATAGGTAGAGAGTACTCCAACTAACATTCGAGCAGTGGTGAACCTTTCTTCTCACAAGACTCAGTAGGATAGTCAAGTAATTAATTCCAAGAGGAAACAAATAGGCAATACTTGACGTGTGGAAATATAAAGCTAAGGTCAATCACACATAATAATTCAGTTTTTACCTCATAAATTATTACGTTATAATAGATAGTATTACATTAATTTGCAGTAAATTACATTACGTTACATTACATCATAAATCTGTCTGTGCTAATCACCCAATTCGACAACCAAAAATATACTATTGAGTTTTCACACAAGAGAAATGAAAATTACAAGGCAAAGCGTGTCAATTCTCAACCTACTTGATATGAAGAAGATTGATAAAAATTAAAAATTACTCTAAAAGGTTGATACAAATGTCACTCGTCAAAAAAAGTTTTATATGACTATGGAGGTGCCAAACATTATCAAAGCCTAAAAACGTATTAAACTTATATGAAATATATTCACCCTATTTCATTTACGGTCATAAGAGGACATGTAGTTTGGTCTCGAAATAAATAATATAGTCGATTGCTGAAGCAAATATAACTTTGCTTCATCGGCAATCCTACTAAAGAATATGATACGGGAAAATGCCTGACCTTCCTATAAATTCGTATTAGCCCCGTAAT